CCAAAAAAAAAAAAAATACCGTACCCGTCATTATATCGGACGAGCCAATTGTACGCGGTTCAACTGGTTCGACCGGTTTAACCGTCTATTTTACCGGTATTAATAAATATTAAATTAATTTGTTATTACAATATAAATAATGTATAAAATTAACTTTAATTAACACGAAAATTAATTAACATCTAATAACAATGTAAACATATTAAAATGAAAGAGTTTTATCAATACAAGGCTCGAAAGATGGGTGAACTATCAATGCGGGGTCTGAAAAAAATTTTTTCTCAATTCGGGACTTAAATGTTATAAAACTATCAAATTAAGATCTGAAAGATAGGTAAACTATCAATGCAGGGCCTAAAAGAATTTTTTTCTCAATTCGGGACTTAAATGTTATAAAACTATCAAATTAAGTTTAAAATTAACAAAACTCATAACATCATTAAATTTAGAGTTAAAAAAATGGTGGTTTGAAAGTCATGTGGGACAGCCCCATGTGGAGCTGTCCCATTGGTGGTTGGTTCCATAAGGAAACCAACCATATGGTTCCTTAGCAAAATTGTCATTGTCTAAACATAATTGTTTGTATCTAAACCAGTTACGGTAAGTCTTATGTTAACTAGTACGGTACCTGTGCGATGCACGGGAGCATTTATTACCTATTTGCTTTTAAAAAGGAATGTTTGTATTTAAATTGTCTCATGGCATTAACAATATCATGAAAATAAAATTTATATGTTATTAAACACTTCCTAATGTACAACATTATTGGTTTGATTTTTTGGCACGTAAAGTACTACATAGGTGTTCGAATTTTATCTAAAATTGCATATTATTAGTTATTAGTTAACGGATTTAAAAAAAAAAATTAAAGGATCTTATTTATTAAACAAAATTATAGTAGAAAAATGTAGAAAATTTTAGGGATTTTCACCCATTATTTATTTGAAATATAATTCTAAATTTCAATTAAGAAAAATTGAAAAGATTCATTAATTACTCGTGAAAATAAAAGTGATTTTTCTACCAATAAACCGATTTTTTTTTATCAAACAAATTGATTCGAATATTTTTTAAACGAAATAAAAAATCATCAATTTTTCCTAAAAATGCAACCAAATTTTTCTAACACTGCACCGACTTCTTTACCAACCAAATTGAATTGAAAATAATGCTAATAAAAAATTAAAATAATTTGTTAATGTTTATTCAATTGTCTCTTTCCTAAAGAAAATGATATGAACTTAAACCCCA